ACATTATCATTGTGTTCTAGATTAGCTAACAGTCAGCTGGAAAAAGAAAAAGAAGAATTAATCCATCAGATAGAAGTTAACAAAGACCAGAATGGACCTGAAAGCACCATACCCGGTAGTATATTTTTTAACACACTCATAGCATATTAGATAACCCAAGTTTTTGAATTAGGGTTTGCCTTTCTTGTTTGTTCACACATTTCTGATAACTGTCTTCCTTTTATAAAATCAAATCCTTGATTTAAGTTTTTAAAGCTGTCTCTGTCTTCCACGAAACAATATTCCCATTGAGCCCTTTGAGTTGCCTGTAATATTGAGTAGCAAGTATTCAAGTGTCTTTCTCCTTGTATTCCATCTGGATGTTACGCATTTAACCATGATACAATGCTAAGTAATAAATATTAGGTCTGTTGCTTCCAGTTTCTCAGTATAGGCCCTTTTAAGCCCTTTGAACATTTTCTTCTAAATGTTACTTTCATCTTGTTATTAATTTTAAAACTACATGTATATACGTAAACATTGCCTATATCCTTTCTTTTTTCCTTTTACAAAGTAAAAAAGTCTATCCTACCCTCTTCCATTTGCATTCAGAAATGATTACTAATCATTCCCGTTCCTGTGTGCATAGGTATGCACATATACACATAGGTATGTAATGTATATGTATATGCGTGAACACACATACAGTGAATAGTTGATCCTCATTATTTGCAGATTCTGTATTTGCATATTCACCTACTCAGTAAATTTACTTGTAACCCCAAATCAGCACTGTGTGGTACTTTTGCAGACATACACACAGAGCAGTGAAAAATTTAAGTTCTATGATCCACACTTTCCTAGATGAGATTCAGCAAGGTGATGCTCTGCATTGTTTCAGCTCTCATACAAGGGTGACCAGAGGAAGAGACAACAGGGGGCACTGCTGCACAGGGCAGGAACCTCTGGTTCTGGGACCAGCTGGACTGGGTTTAAATTTCAGCTCTGATGCCTGTCATTAGGGCAGCCTCAGGAGTCACTTGATACTTCCGAACCTTGTTCTCTCCTGTATAACAAAGAAAATAGGACCTACCAGGATGAGTTGTTTCCAGGATTTAAGATTATGAAATCTATGTGAGATGTATGTGTATGTAGGTTTATTTTCCCTAAGAGCAGTGGTTCAGTATTCACTAATTCATTGTTCATGTTGACTTTATAGAACATAACTACTGCAAATAATAAGAATCGATTGTTTGTATGCATATTGTATTTAATAGCTTTTATGAAAATGCCAAATTCTGTTCCAAAGGGTTATACTAATTTATATCTAAACAGTTTTTGACTATTTCACATAGCTTTTCAATATCCTACCAAGTAGTCTTGTTGCTACTTTGTATTAAGGCTGTCATGTATGAGTCATTCCAGACACTGCTAAATGCTTTACAAGCATTTTATAATTTAATTCTTATAGCCCTGAATTTTGAGTACCTCTGTCTCCATTCTACCTGTGTTAAACAGATTCAAAGCAGCTAGGAAGTGGCAGAGGCAGGATGAAGCCTAAATCTGTGAAACTCCAAAGCTCCTTGCCATTTCCTGCTATTGACCATTAGACTGCCTCCTCTCTTGGTGACTAGAAGTACATACGTAAACCTCTCTTGATAACATCTCTTCCAGCAGCCAGCTTGGTGTACTAAACCAGACACAGCACCAAAGAGCAGTTAATGCTGTTGATGTTAGGAAAGTTCTCTTTCTAAACCTCAGTTTCCCGAGAAGGAATTTCTGAACCCTCATTTCCTCATCTTCTATTTAAAAATAAGGATATCTACCAAAGACTGTTAAGGCTCAAAATCAAACCAAAACTGTTTTGGAAATTTTAAAGCACTATTTAAGTATACGTGATCATTAAGCTAACTTTTGGAAAGTGCTATACATAATAATCACTTTTACTGCATAATTTCATTACCAAGCTATGTAATATATAGCATCCCACTGATTAAGACAACTCAATATAGCATTCCAGTGATCAAAAATCAACTCTGTAAAAAAATCATTAGTACTTTCTGCAGAGGTGAGGGAAGCTTTGAAAAGTATGAGGAAAATATTTGTCTCCAACTTAACAGTAATTGGAGGACCATTCCAAGGTCACCTTAATAGAATATGCTTCCTGTCCCATTCATGAAAATGTATTTGCTGACCATTATTTTCTCAAAATTCAGCGTTATTTTAAAAATTTTACCCCTCAATGGATGTAAAATATGACCACATGACACATTATATGCAGTTTAAAGAAAGTATGTTTCTAGCAAAGATGGCAATAAAAGCAAAAATACTATTGCCCATTGATTCTCATTACAAAATTAGAGATATGTTAACTCTGGGGGAAATCAATAAATTAAAGCCCTTGTGCTTTTTATGTTTTCCTACCAAAATATCAGGACTTATTCATCTTTGTGTTATCCATCCTGCCCAGCACATTTTTCACATAGTATTGGGTTGGCCAAAAAGTTCATTTGGGTTTTTCCGTAAGATGTTATAGAAAAACCTGAACGAACTTTTTGGCCAACCCAATAATTACAGTAAATACGCACTGAAGTACACGGAATAGTCAAAGCTGTTGGGTAACAGGAGCATTTGGCCACCTTATGGTTGTAGCCCCTTCCCTAATAGTCTACTTATTCTAATGTTGTACTATTAGCACCTAACAAATTTTCTTGGTTCTAGAATTTTTCTCTGAAAATAATGGTTTCTTCCATGTAAAAAATCAACCTGGATCTATACTTCTAACAAACATCTAACGTATGCCTCTTCTCTTTGTCTGCTTATGGAATTATAATACCTGATATAGAGGTAGCATACAGAATTCACAGCCTGAAAAGTGTTTCAACCATAAAAGACAACATTTTCCAGGCTCTAGTTTCAAAATTTTCCTCCTTATCCTCTAAAATAAATCCTTTATCTTGAACTTATTCAGAGTGGGAAAAGCTTAGTCTAATTTTCACTTTTTTGGAGGCAGATCCTGATCAACTAAAGGAAAAGGTCAAAGATCTAGAGACACAGCTCAAAACCTCAGATCTAGAAAAGCAGCATTTGAAGGTAACTATTTTAATTATAGTATTATAAATGTTTTGTGAAAACAGCTGTTGAAAACTGTTTTTATGCTCACCATCTCTGAGTTTTAAGTATGTATCCTAAATATTCTTGGGATCACATTTTATACTTACATTTAACCTTGATACTACAAAGTTGATTATATTCATCTGACTGTATTAAAAATATTTATTAAAACAGAACCATCAAAAAATTGAGACAAATAGGATTAAAGAGTAAATTATTTTTAACTGTCACAAATATAGCTCATTATTTTAATATTTTTCTAAGTTTTGGGTCACATTGGGAAGTGTCTTTTATTTCCTTTAGAAATTCTTTTCAGGAATAGTTCCCTTAAAGAAAGATATTTGATATGCTTTCTCTCTTTAAGAATCTGTAAACAGAACAAAAGAGCATAAATATGAAAATTAACTAGTGATCACTGGCTATTCTACATGGTCATTAAAGCTCAAATTGTTCCTTTACCAGATGCCTAACTTTTAGCCAGGCAGAAGCCCAACAGTTTACCTGATCATAAATATATTTATAACAAGTGACCATTATTCATTGAAAATTAGATATTTGTAAAGAAAATACAAGTAAAGCCTAACCAAAGAATCTTAACCAAAATAACTTCAATGTTGTGAACAGCCAAGTTTTTTGATTGCCTCATTGAGAGTATCTTAATATTCTTTTGGAGAAAGATTAAATCCCCTCTGATTTAAGAGCTGATAAATTTTAGTCCAAGACCAGGACATAACTTAGAGAACAAATAATTTGACAGTTAACAAGTTAGTTACTTACACTGTACAATGAAACCTTATTAATAAAATCTTAAGAAAATACTTCTGCCGTATATTTGACTATTCAGGTTACTTTGGCTTTCATGTTTGTAATTAATCTCTTTAGTTCACACCTAAAGAATGTATTTTTTCCTATATATACCTTTTAAAGATAATATGTTCTTATTAGGAGGAAATAAAAAAGCTGAAAAAAGAACTGGAAAATTTTGATCCTTCATTTTTTGAAGAAATCGAAGATCTGAAGTATAATTACAAAGAAGAAGTGAAAAAAAATATTCTCTTAGAAGAGAAGTTAAAAAAGCTTTCTGAACAATTTGGAGTTGAATTAACTAGTCCTGTTGCTGCTTCTGAAGAGTTTGAAGATGAAGAGGAGGAAAATCCTGTTAATTTCCCATATACTAAGGGCCACATCTAACTATAGTTTTATTTAACTGTTTATTAACTTTATAAGTTAAAATTCCATCTGGAAGTTCCATCTGGAAATCAGGCAAGTCTCTGACCTACATGATTTCCTTCCCAATACCTTGTACCTTTACCTAAATTGGAATTTTTAGTAAATAAAATTATACGAAAATTTCAACGTATTAGAAAAGTGTATTTTTGAAGACTTTTAGGATAAGTTATATCTGTCAAATAGGCAATGAGCTATGGTGAATTCCTATACATTCATAATGTTTTAAGTTTCTTAAACATTTAAAACTGGGGTTTTATATATACTTACATATTCTCAAATTACGTGTGTGTGTGTGTGTGTATATATATAGATAAAAATACATCATGAAGTTGAGCCATAAGTTTTCTTAAATGTCTAGCAGTATTAAATTCAGCTTGAACTATTTAATTTTTAAAGTAAACGGTCCAGAATTGTTGGTTTGTCTTTTATGCTACTACCCATGTATAATGGACTGAATCTAACCTTTGTACAAGCTGGGCAGCTTACTATTATATTTTAAATTCCAGAGGTTAAAAACTCACTTGCTGTTTCTCAATAAAATTTTGAATAGATATTTGCAGGTGGGAAATTCATTTCTTCAAATGCTAGAAGACATGATGCTATATTAGACAGTGAACAATAAATAGAAACTCAGATATTTTTACCTTCTAAACATGGCAGAGTATTCAATATTGAAATATAATAACAAAGAAGCTGGTTTTTAATTGCATTTCCAGTTTATACATTGAGTATTATATCTTTGAGCCTACCAAATTTCTGATTATCTATTTTTGAAAAGTGATTAAATAAGCACTTAGCATCAAAGGCATACACATAATTGTTCAGATTCATGTTGATAACAACTGGTTTTGAATTCATATAGGTATCTGGGATTGGCCAGCATAAACCAAGATGATGGCGATGGACCTGAAAAGAAAAAAAAAAAAAGGGCATTAGCTTTTAGCCTGTATTATCTTCATTCACTTACAAATCTTTTGAGTGCCTACTATCTCCCAGGCACTATTTAAGGCTCCATGTCATCTTACCCTTTTTTTTTCATAGCTGTTCTCCTGACATATTACATATTTACTTGCTTATTGTCTATCTTCCCCATTAGAATGTAAGCTTCATGAAGGCAGAGACATTGTTTTGTTGACTCTATTTCCAGCACCTGGAAACATGCCAGGAACATAATCAGGGGCTCCATAAAAATGTAATGAATAATAGAGTCTATTGCTGAGTGCAAAGTTAGCCAATTCAAAAATGTGGGCGGAAGGCATTCTAACCAAAAGAAATATCATGTGATAGAATCGTGTTTTTGCTCTGGTTGCATTTAGTTAAGAACATATACAGCGCGGGTGTGTTTGGGAGATGGGGGTAAAGAGTTCTGGAAATTTGAACAGGGGCCAGATCATGAAAAATCTTAATGTCACTGAACACTTTTATGCAGGGAAGTAGTATTCTCATTCATTTGTGAAGCACGGACAGGACAGGGATAAGACTGAAAGATAACACTGAGGAGGGTGACAAAATAATTCAAGCATGAATCTTGTTTTAAATTAAAATCAACAGCCAGTTGGTGGTAAGAAGTACACAGATGCAACAGATGAGAATCTTTTAGAACTGATAATTGGATGTAGGAAGTGATGGAGAGAGGGGTTAAAAATGATATCTAAGTTTTTGGCTTCAGTGAATTGTTTGGAGTTGGGGTTGGTCCAAACTGGACTAGGGTCCAGTTTTGAACATTACAAACTAGAACCTATGTGAAATCAAACAGACAAGTCCAGGAGACAGAAAGGGTGCAAAGGGTAAAAGAATTCATTCTGTATATATTAACTGTCACCTTGGCACTCTTTTAACTCAACGAATTCTATAATCAGGTACCTTTGAGAAATGCTGCGTTAAACTAAGTTATTAGTACAGATGTCTTAGAGAACACTAATGTTCAACATGAATTTCCAAGAAGGCGATACATAGTATGCAGGGTTTTCCGGACATTTTCATCACTTTAATTCTGAAACACATCTAGAAGAACCAACGCCCCACAGAATAAATACATATTGGGAAACACAACTTTATCATATAAAGATGGTGGCATGTGAGATGAAGAAATTAAATTACTGCAAATCAGAAGTACTGCAATTTGTAGAGCATTTTAGTGCCACTTCTACTTTAAGAACATAAAATGACATAATCCCACTAATTATTTTCTGCCATTACCTTGATTAAACAGCCATCACTGCAGTGCCACACGATTCCTTCAATTTTACCCTCTCTGCAACCTTCAAACCAGGACAACAGATCATTGTGCTTCAAAGTAGGTAGATTTCTTATTTGAAATGCTCCATGTGGTATAAGAAGATGTAATGGATGCTTCTTGCTTCCTAACCCTAAAATTGTAAAACTTTGCCATTAGCCATACAGAAGTTTCAAAAAGAATGAGGAAATTTCTCCCTCCAAATTAAAAAAAGCCTCTAAAACATTGAGGAATAAATTTACCAAAAAGTTTAATTCCTTGAACAGAGACAAGTGCCCTCACTCAAAAGTCGGCACCTTATCCCATTAAATCTAAATTCCACCTTTGTGTGCTCTATACCAGGAATTGGCAAACTATGACCTTCGACTAAACCCAGCCAGGTGCCTGTTTTTGTAAACTGTTTCAATGGAACACAGCCAACCCATTCATTTAAGTACTCTCTATGGCCTGTTTCAGAGATATGGCCCAAAAATCCTAAATATTTACTGTCTAGCCTTTTATAGAAAAGTCCACCAACTGCTGCTCTACACCATTTAGCCACATTCGACTATCATTCAGTATTTACCAAACAGCCACGCTGTATCTGATAACTTGTGTAATTACTGTCTTAGATTCTTTTTACCTGCCAATCAGTCTGCTTCTGATCTCTATATAGGATTTTGCTATTCCAGCTTTAATGACCTTGGGTCTGTCTTCATCCCTGGGTTAACAATACTCCATAGTGCCCTCAGGACTTGTACTCAGATCATCATGGTGTATATTCTAATGCTTGATATACTATTCATTGCTAATTCTTTTATTTACTTTACTCCTAGCTGTTAATTAATGCTAAACTAATTACCTAGCCATGAAAAGCAACCTAAGTGCCCATCAATAGATGAATGGATAAAGATATGGGGTGTGTGTACACACACACACACACACACACACACACACACACACACAGAAAATGGAATATTACTCAGCCATAAAAAAAGAATGAAATCCTGCCAATTGCAACAACATGGATAGACCTAAAGGATATTATGCTAAATGAAAGAAGGAAAAGACAAATACTGTATGATTTCACTTATATATGGAATCTAAAAACCAAAGCAAATAACTCAAGTTTATTAGTCATTTCTTTAGTGTGTATTTTTTTTCAGTTGAACCTAGGAAGTTTTCTTTAAAAATGACTACCGTAACTAAAGAAAAAGGCTTTACTCACCATATGGGTTTCCATTAATATTGGTTCCTATAAGCTCCAGTGTTTGTTCTAACAGATCTGAGAGTGGCACTGCACTAATTTCCAAAAGACCAGGATCATCAGAATGATGCCTCAGTACCAGGGCGATTTCAAATTCATAATTTACTACAGAGGAATGCCAGCAATACTGTTTGCTGTTTTTCTCCACTGGTACCCAACCTATCATTTAAAGAAAGAAGTGTTTTTTATTGCACTGTTTTTCTTTGGATTAAGACCTAAGGTAATTTTAATTTTTGTTGCAAATTTTCTGTATTTTCTGGATGTTCTATCACACATAGGTATCACTTTTAACATCAGTGGAAATGTTAGCAGTTTTACTACTTTGTAAATCATAATCTTTTTCTTTAATCATAAGGTCTCATTCTTGATTCTGCTGAGGAATTAACCTGTTTGATTAGTCACTTCAGAGCACTCAGCATTCTTTTAATAGAAAATTCACATTTTCAATAAGAATTGAGCACCATTCTAAGACACAGCACCAAAACCTTTTTTTAAATTAAGTTTTCTCTCTACCTTCTCTCCAGTTTCAGGGACGATAGACAGATGCAAGTGTTCCGCAATTCACTGTATTGTTCCAGTATTTATTGAACAATTTATTGATTCTACATTTATTGAATGTTACTGCTATTCCCTTCCTAACTACTGATGGCAGATTAGGCTTCTTTGTTGTGGAGAATTCCTTACCAAAAAAAGACAAACTAGGGCATAAACACTTTTATGACCGTCACATCTTTGGCATTCATTATTCACCCAGATTACTATAATAACCTCTTTGCTGATCTACTATCTCCCTTGTAATTCTATTTCAAGAATTTAAATTTAGTTCTGCTGTAGCTCTGCTTAATAATCATCTTCAGGATAAACTTCAAACTTCTTCAGATGGAATATAAACCCCTTTAAGATCTGAGCCCATTCCACATCTCCAGCCTCTACTTTTATAGCTTCAAGTGTCATACACTCTAAACATTCCAGCCACAATAAGGTGTTATTTAAAATTTCTCAAAGATTCCATGATCTCTCCCCTTCGTAGGAGTTTGCCTAAGCTGACCTTCTCCCTTCCCTCGCCAACTAACTTCCTGGTTCTTAAGCTTCAGTTTCAATGTCCACTCCACTTAGAAGCCTCCTCTAACCACCACAGGTTGAACTAGGAGTTCTTCCTCTTTTCTCCAATTGTACCCTGTGTATTTCCTTTTAGTTCTTAAATCATACTATTATTGGTAGATTTTTCCTATTGTCTAAAAGCTCATCAAGGATAAAGGTTCTGATCCTCCTCACTTTTGCATTACTAGAATCAAAGAGTACTTTGCACATTATAGGTTCTTTTAATCTGGAGTTATCCTTCTACTCAGCACACTTCTGCAAAATTTTCCCATCTCCAGAAAAACTACTGTGAGACACCTATTTTCACTTCCCTTCGAGACAGATTTCTAGGATCTTTGCAAAAAATATATACATATTGTTATCCCCAGTCTAAAAAGTAAAAAGCTTAATATCCCATTTCAGATTAGAACATACCGTCATCGTGACAACACTTCAAGGCTATTCCCACACTCAATGCTTTATTAATCTTCACAGACTACAGGTAGTAAACTGTCCACCTGAGAAAAGATTCTAAACTTGAGAGGACGTTCTTGATATGAAACATCTTTGGTATCGTTAAACTTAAATTAGACTTAGAAAAGTTGTGCTATACAGATAAATACCATGAAGAACCATATTAAAATTAAGTTCTGTAATTTCCAATTGAATGTATAATAATACCAGGAATGTGTCCATTTTCATCAGGCATTGGATTTCCATTTAATTGTTCTATTTCCTTCGCTGGTATCCAGCACTCTGGAACAGGTTTGAAGTCCTCCTCAACATTCCAAAAAAATTCTAAAAGAGTTAAATAATCTTATGTGTGGCGATACTTTAAAAAAATACATATAACACTGAACAAATTCAAAGTGGGAACAGCTAATGAACCCCATAATGTCAGGTATCATATAATTAGTCTCCATTCACTACCACCACAATGTGACTACTTCTCACGGTTAAGGTACTAACACTTTAAATTTTCAATTTTGAACCCACCACTATCTGTAACAGTAGTAACAGTCTAACTAAAGCAACCAATGTTCCAGCATGTGTGATTTATGGTAAATTTTTAATGCACTATGAATATAAATATATAAAGATTATATGTATGAATGAGTGGATATATAACAATAAATGTATGTATCTACTTATATAATATTTAGAAGTATCTACTGTAATAATTAAAAATATTAATAATCCTTTGAGATTTGTGCCTGATTTATAAAATTACCCATTTGTCTCTTAGGGAGACAAAACCAAAATGTGTCACTCATTATATATATATATGTGTGTGTAGATATATATATATATCTACACACACACAATAATTTGTATGTTTTAATAAAATGGACATGCTACAATGAAGAGTCACAGAAGTGTTAGGAAAATATTTTGAAATATTTTTCAAGAATATGCTTTTACATATAAAGATATTCAATTATAATTTTTTCTTTTCCCAAGGTGCTTAAATTGTAAAGAAGCATATAATATAAAGAACACCATAGCAAGAAATAAGCCAAAAATTTCAACTTAAATCATGAAAAGCTTTAAAAAAAAAGAAAAAAAAGGACCCACTAACCTTTAGAGTTTTGTTTTGAATGTAGAAAATTTTTAAACCTTTTCTCAGCTAGTTTGTTAGGTTTTCTATCTAGCCGAGCCCAAAGGTATGGCTGACCTAAAAAATAATGAAAGGAAAAAAAAAGTTTAAGAGGCAAACAATAAAATTTATCTTGAAAGACATTTCCGTATAAAATTTTTCAATAAACAGTAGGAGTCATCTCCTCTAAGAGAAGCAACCCAGAAGACAAAGGGAGATAAGCAGTATAACAGACATCCTACCTAACAGTACCTGATGTATAAGACTTAAGTCTTTGGTTAGAAAGTGATGGGGATGAGATAAAAAGCAAATGTGACTCTTTCATAAGGACATTCCACAGCCATACTTTATTAGAAACTAGCAATTGTGAGAAACCGAAGCTAACTCTATACTAAATGGAAACATAACCAGAAAATTGTATTCACACTTTCCCTGAAACCGAACTATGTGCTATGAGGGTTAATTCCCAAAAATGTGGAGTGAGGCTAAACTGTTTTGCATGGCTCTGACCCCTGGGGTCAAGGCAAGGAACATTGATTGATAGCAATGCTTTACAGTCAGGGATCTGAGAAGTTTCAGGGCGGGTGCCAGCACTCTTTATTGACAACAGTGAGGCTAATGAGTTGCACCTGGTCTCAGTGAGACTCCTGGAGGGCTGATGTTGAGGCTGGTTACTTAGCAGGAAGATACCTTCAGGGCCAGCAAAATATAAAAATCCCCAGCTGAGACTCCATTTCAGATTCCCGGTTTCTGAGGTGTTCCCTGTCTATATCAGTGGTGGTCCCTGCTTTAAGAAAGTTGTGTCCTGCCTGGATTTGTCAGGAAGGTGGGGGAGGAGTCGGGGCGGGACTTTCACCTGGTCTCACCAGACACTTTGCTGTGAGAGAGTCTTTGGTTGTGATGCGCATCCTTTTAATGCCTTTGCTGCACTGCCTATCCTTTACCTGTAATAAACTGTGAATCTGCAAGCACTGTCACCCTGGGTTCTGTAAGTTTTCTTTAGCAATCCAATCTTGTTTAACTGCTACCATTATACATGACTACACATATGATGCACACTGAAGTTTCTTAATATAAGTCTAAAAAAATCTTTTAGTTTCTTCAAACATATAAATCAGAGACTTATCTTAAAAATTACTGATTAAAGTTTGGTTTAGGCACTATATATTACTCATTAGCTATACCAATAAATAATATGAAGAACCAGATTAAAACTACATTGTCATTTCTGTTGAATGGACCTTTTGCTCTTTTCACAATAAACATAAAAGAACGCATTGCACTCACACCCATTAAGATGGCTACTATCAAAAAAATAGAAACAAGTGTTGGTGAGGATATGGAGAAGCTGGAACCCTTCTGAAGTCCTGCTAGGAACGTAAATAATGCAGCTGCTACAGAAAACAGTATGACAGTTCCTCAAAAAATTTTAAAAAGAATTAGTATATGATCCAGCAATTCCATTTTTTGATACATACCCCGAAGAATTGAAAGCAGGGACTCAGATATTTGTACACCATGTTCATAGCACCACTGTTCCCAACAGCCAACAGATGGAAGCATCCCAAGTACACACTGATGGATGAATGGTATATACACACAATTATGTAGTATATACAAACTTGTGGTATATACATACAATGAAATATTATTCATCCTTTTATAAAGGAAGGAAATTCTGACATGTACTACAACATGGATGACTCTTGAGGACAATATGCTACGTGAAATAAGCCAGCCACAAAAAGACAACTACTGTTAAGACTCCACTTATGTGAGTTACCTAGAGTAGTCAAAACCCTAGAGACAAAGTAGAATGGTGTCTGGAAGAAGGTGGGGATGCTGAGTTGTTTAATGGGTAGGAAGTTTCAGTTTTGCAAGATGAAAAGAGTTCTGGAGATGGATGTGTCGATAGCAGCACAACGATAAGAACTGTACACACCACTGAACTGTACACTTAAAAATGGTTAACATGGTAAATTTTATGTCATATGTATTTTATCACAATTAAACATGAAAAAAGATGCACTTCAGAAGAGATTTCCTGATATAAAGGATGTGTTCAATATGCATTTAACTGTTCTATTTCTCTTGCTGGAATTGTGAGGTAATTTCACTATCCAGAAAAAAATCACAGATTATTTCTCTCTTTTCAATGCATTTTTTTCCTTAACATAGTTGACAATTTCTATTTGAGTTTAAAGTACATTAAAATGAAATAAATTAGAGACATTGCCAATAGTAATAAAAACAATGGAATCAGCACTGGGACCAGTGGAATAAGAACAAGCTTTAGGGTCAGATAAACCCTATTACCAGTTGAGCCTTCATTAATTATATGGTCTCGAACAAATTATTTATGTTCTCTGAGCTTCAGTTTCCGTTTCTGTGAAATGGAGAGGCTTATTGTGCAAATTAGAGATAACACATATAAAGCATTTATCATACTGTCTGGCCCTTAATGGGTATTAAGTAAATATTAGTTATCTTTCCTTCTTCCCCCAAGAGAAAGATACAATGATATAATAAATAAGTATAATGTACCAATTGTGATTTTATTATTTTCCTATTATACTTAGGTTTCCAAGGGTTTATGAAGGGCAATGCCCCATTTCAGATATATATAGTTTAAGTGACTAAGAAAAATAAGTAATATTTGTAGTACAGTTTTATATTACCTTTGTAAGTAGTAACATAACAACATGTTCCATCCACTTTTTCTGTTGGAATTGCACTGTGTATATCTGCATCTAATGCCTTGTGACTTATAGTTTCAGTTGCCAAAACTTTAAATGGCTTAAAAAAGAGAAAGAGAAGACTGGTTTAAGATAAATAGCCTCTATACCTTCGCACACATTCTTACCTGGAAGTTCTTAATTTCACTAGCTCTAAGGGATGATCACCAGTTTATCCTTCAAAATATTTCTCCTGTGAAGTTCTTACAAATCACCCACTCCCCTTCTATGCTATCATAGCAATACATGTTTTTCCACACAGATTTGTAATCAGAGTCGACTTGAACAACACAGGTTTGAACTGCATGAGACCACTTATATGCAGATTTTTTTTTCAATAGTAAATACTGCAGTACTACACATTCAAGGTTGGTTGAATCCTGGATGCAGAGCCCTGGTTATGGAGGAAACTCGAATATGAGGGCCAACCACAAGTTATACTCGGATTTTCCACTGCTGTAGGATCCAAGACCCTAACCCTGGCATTGCTCATGGGTCAACTGTATTCACATGTTTCTTCATCCACCATAATAAGCTTGACAACAGGAACCATATCCTATGCAGAGCTGCATCCCTAGCACAGGTGTTAAGTGTGTTCAGTCATTTACTTGACAATTATTTGCTAAATGCCTCCTATGGGTTAAGTATTGTCCTCAGCACTGGGATAGAGGTAAACAAAAAAGGACCTGCCTTTGGTGGAAGGTTCATTTTAAGGAGGGAGATGATAACAGCAACAAAATGTATAGTACAATGTTAGCTACGATAAGTGCTGAGGAGAAAAACAAATGCGGACCCTTTCAGCTTTATCAGTAGTGAACTGTTTGCATATTTAACTTACGGTTTTTCTACTGTCAGGAAGACAAGCCAAGAGTATCAAGAATGGAGGAAAAGACATTTTCTAGGATTCCTACCAACTTTTTATCTGTAATTTATTTTCATTTATGAGAAAAGACTATGCCACTGTTTTACAGTCTAAATTATCTGAAGTAATACTCACCTTACATAATGTGAAAAAACACTGTACAATATAAACATACTGGTGTGATAGGCTTAAGACTAAAAAATGAAGTACTGTTTCAGAGTCTGGCAAACTTAGGAAATTAGCCCCACTCTGGTACTGATTCAGTATTTTTAAGATAAAGCTGAATAGTTAGGGATTTATCAGTAACTTATAACATTGGTATCAGAGGATATCAATTTAACCTGTGGCAGTAGGACCAAGGTTTGGCCCAATAGCTCTCCGCGTGTGTGTGTGTGTGTGTGTGTGTTTAAATTTATCAAAGATTCTAGGGAGGAGATGACTTTATGGAGTTCTTGATAAGGACAAATATCCCTTCCATAAGAATGAATTACCTACCACTCCATGCTACTGACCTGTCCAAAGGACAGCATAAGATACCAAGGGGTACGCAGAGTTCTCCTTCTCTGTCACTTAAATCTTTAAACTCTGACTGGAAACAGAAGGCATGTGTGTATAAAAAGTAATAGCTAGTATCAACTGAGTGATCCTCTACAATTTCTTGGTAGGGGAAATCACTAGAATAAGTAAGCTGATGAAAGATTTCATAGAGAACTTCTGATTCCAAATTTTTAAAATCCTGGAAGTGATCCAGGCAGGGTGCGTAGCCTGAGCAGAGAGACAGGATTGTGCTTGCTATGTTCACAGGATGAAACAGGCTTTGCTAGAACAGATATGTCACTTTAAGTAGGCACCTCTGTCAAAAACACACATGGCATTTTTCACTACACTGAGCTCAGGCACCTCATTGTGGGCCTAACAGGCACTTTGCGACTGGGCCTGATTAATGAGAATCCTTGAATTGCAGTTAAGAATTTGAATGCTATGCTATAAACAACACTATAAGCTATACTTGACTGCAGAGGGACAAGAGAAGGGGCTTATTTTCCTGGTGGAGAGTGCTTTTACAAACTACTCGCCTCTCACCCACAACATACAAAGTTGAGAATCACAGCTAGAGCGAACCACTATTCAGGATGCCATTGTTTCGTATGAATTAAGTTTGTTAGGGCTTAAAAAATAAAATCTTGACAACTACTGCTACAGACATTTAGTAGTAACTGCAGGGTTTTGACTAGGAAAGAATAATGATGATCATTCTCAGCGGCAAGAAAGAACAATTTAGTGCAAGAAGGGCGTAAAATATTAAGAACTATAATAGCAGTGGCAGTGAGACGTTATAAGGTAAAAAGCATCAAGGTAAATGGAAAGCTGGCGTGAAATGACGCCAGGGTTTATCCAGTGCCTACCATGTGCCAGGTCCTAAAAACTGGGACTAGAAATAACACAGCAGTCTTGGCCTTAAAAGTCTTTTAGCCTGGGAGACAAGAAGGCCAGTGTGAACGATGTTAACGGGAAGTGGAGGTGGAGTCAAATGCACATGCTGATTTTGTATGATGAGTTGAAGCACCCAACCGATAAGTGGTGATTTTGCTATCCAGGACTTTACTATGTATTAAAGAGTTATCCTGATACAGGATCATTCACCAGTATTTATTAAGGGCCCTCTCCATGTGTAAAACACGTTGCTGCGAGAATAGAAAACCTTGAGATGGAAACACCAAAATTAGAATCAAGTAGTTAATTACTGGTAACAATACACGAGGTCTGATCTTTAGTGACCTATTTAGGTTAGTTGTCAACACTGTCATCGGTTCCCAGGTTTGAACAGGTGAAGCAAGTCTTCTAAAATCTCCACTTTGACACCACACTCGTGAAAAGTAGGAAAGCTTGTTTTGCGGTGACTATACGACTACTTAAGGGACTTTCCTCAAAAGGTGGTAACCTAAGAAGAAAGGAACATTATTTAAGATGCGGGTTTTCAATTTCCATGCGATGGCAAGTCTGAATCGCCGGATCAGAAAAATTCTCCCGTAGATTCCCTCCCTTGCAACTAAGAAGGTACAAGAACCGGGAGCTCGGGGCGTAGAAGACCCGTACCCTAGACCGCCCCAGCGAAACCTGCAAACCGCCCCCGCCCCCAGTCTACAGGGCGGCTCCACCGCGCCTGGGAGCCCTCTCCGAGTTCAAACGCAGCCCGCGCCACGGGGAGCAGCCCACCCGCGGCCGCCCCGCGGGCCCCGCGCTCCTCGGTACCTGATGCTCCCTTTTGGTGGAAGGCTCCTCCTTCACCTCCGTCACAAACACACACGGCATTTTCCGCTGCACCGAGCCCAGGCGCCTCATGGTGGGTCCACAGGCAGTGCGAGTGGAAAGCGCGCTTACGAACAGCGCCGGGCCCGCACCAGGACAACATCCACAGCAGTCAGCCGAGCTGCTCAAGCCACGCACCTTCCGCGCGCTGGCCCAACGGCCGCGCTCCCGCGTCCCCCGGCACCGAGGTGGGCCGGGACGCACGCCCGGAAGCGGCCTCCTGGCCGCGGAGCCTTCTGGAAGTTGTAGTGCGGAAGCAAAAGGTACCTCCGTGTGTGCTCTCGCGAGCGTCCCTCAGGGTTGTGATGACATTGAAAACACAAAGATCCGTTTCTGGTGTGTGTGGGTATTAGTAGCCGATGATATTTATGAAAATTAAATGCTATGAAGTGATAAGTAATGAGTGGTTTTAGGTGGCGATTTAACACCATTTTGATGAAACCGATTTGCCTGTCCCCTTTAATATGTTCCTGGGAGAAGCACTGTAGAAGCTTAGAAATATCCGGAGACATCTCAAGGCGAAATGAAAAGTAATTTCCCTGGAAAAATGTTGGAAAACGCTACAACTAAAACATCTAGGACCCTCCCAAGAAAGAAATATTACCGTTTGTATTACGCCTCATTGTGCGGCATAATATGGTCAAAATTGGTTCTGGTGTCTTTTCCAGAGTGAATGCAAAGTGTAGCCTTAGACCAATCCAAAACCACACGAATACCAACATCCAGCTTTCAATCTCCATCTTTCATAGGAACCTCATTTACCTTAGTTAAGTATGAGCTCCAACAGAGTCCGAATGGCTTGAGTACTTGTCGTCAATCACCTGCAGAGGTAAAAACAGCTTTGACTTATTGCTCAAAAGAACTTTGGAGGGTAAGTAATGACAGTCAATGACTGAATAAAAATTAATAAATATTAAATATTTAGTAATAGTAGCCTTTCTATCTCATTGAAGCTAGTAGTCCCTAGTAGGAGAGTTTTGATTACTGCCATCTTTTATGTGTCTGGACAATGCCCAGGTCTCATTCCTATAATTGTCTTATCTGCAGGTATCAGACTGCCCAGCAGTTTCCTGATTTAGCCCTCATGAAATTAAACGACTATATCTCACTTGGAGTCATCCATGTGTAAGGAAATTCCCAAAGAATAAAATAACCCTCCGAAAAATTCACTGGTTTTTGATTGCTGGATTCAGAGGGGAGGGATGGAAGAGATTTGCTGTATAAAAGTATTTACTTTCTCTTCTGCTATCTTTGATTTTCTCATAGGAAAAATAAATTAAATAAATAAATAAGGAGGTTAGGGGCGGAAAACACCTGATGTGAGATCCTGGGACCAGAAACGTCTTAGCATTTTGTAGTCAAGAACCAGTGACTTTGTTCCTCCAGAAGAATCCTAAAAAGCAGCTTGCTTCATTGGTCTCAAGGAGACAACAATTAAATAACCGTCACAACTCTCAACTGTCATTTCCCAAACTGCCACAGTCTTTTAGGTCCAACATTCTATCATTTCTGAGAAAAGATCATCTTCCAAAACATTCCACTTGCTGTTTGAAAGTAGCAGCAAAGCTAACCATTTTTTAGGAAGCACTCTATTTCTAGTGCTTTGATTTCATCAGTGCCTGGAGCAAAGCTTCTGGCAGAAACAGGGGAGTCCAACGCAGGGGACAGCCACAGAACCCATTCACAGTTACAATCTGGACTCCTACTCTCTCTGATGGGTAGCAGCCGACCCCTTTGCCCGATTCTCATAAGTCTGAAGAGTCAGCAAGGAGTGACTACCAGCCCCAGTACTTAAAGTGGTGTTAACACAAACTGGAAGAAAGCCTTTTTTCTCTCATGTGTTAGTGTTCTGACATGAACCCAAAATGAAAGATTCAGTGCAGAGTGTACTCTGGCCAACACAAAAACACAGAATTTTCAGGCCTACCGTGAGCTGTGCAGGCAAATTTCTCATAACTCTTCTTTACTCATTACAGGGAGAAAAAATCGTCCTGGTTATAGTCATAGCTTTCCCTGAAAAACTAGAATGAATTTCACAACAGGAAAGGAGTGAAGAGAATAAGGAAAAGGTGTGTGTGGCGGGGGAGAGGAAGGGTAGAAAGAAAGGAAAGGAAAAGAGAGTTGGAAAAAAAGAAGAAATTAGGGTTCCAGGCATTCTAGACACTACCAAAATGCACAGATCTATTTACAATGGCAAAAAAAAAAAATTCCCTTCTGGGTTTGATGTGTTCTTGCTGTTTCTAATGGAACATAATTGTTCAAAACTAACTTCAAGAGGTAAAAGCATTTCTTCAGGCTTTCCCCTGTGTAAAACATGGGTTCTCACAATGGCTTTAATCATGATGTTAATGTAATCATGCAACAATGGTGTTTGGTAACAGTATTTGAAAATAGTCCAATGCAGCTAAAAGTTCATAGGTGGAGAGGAAGTTTATCTGGAGGCAAAGACCACTTAAAGCTATTTCTTAGGGGTGTTTCTCCCAGTAACCTATGTGCTTAAGATGGGTACATTGTTATTCTAGAGTTAGAAGGTAGGGCGAAACAAAAGTTGAGATATTAGATTTTTCTATATATCATTGCTATTATTTCCAAGGTTTTAGTCAAGTCTTTATTCTCTACTTGATTTACTTCTAATGCATAGTTCTTTTTATTATTTTCTTTTATTTACAGTTATAGGTGAATAACTCTTTTCTAAATTTTAGCTTATTTCCTAGATTTTTATCCTAAAGCAGTGTATTCAAAAAGTTCATACCAACTTAGTCTTTTTTACTTAACCAAAATGAAAATCTATATGTCTTGATCTTTTAAATTTACAATTAAAAGTACACTGCAATTTAAAAATATATTTTGATCTACTGTAATTTGTCTTCTCTATGGCATTTTCTAAGTTACCTTCTATGGATATTTTTATTAATTTCTGCTAGGTTCTAGTTCTTTTAGTAAAGATACTAAGATGAAGACCTCAGTAACTACTGACTGAAATGTCTCATTCTGGGAATCAGAGTACTTCATTTTGCTTTCAACAAATTCTCAAAATTTGCAAGCATTCTGGAATCTTTCTGCTATAGGGAGAAGCTATTCCCCTTTTAATGATGGATGAAGAGTAAATGGAATATAGCTACAAGATGAATAAGTAGTCCAATTTATTTTCAGGCATCTATTAACTATCACAATCTGAATGATTTTTTTCAAATCAGTGGATAGCGGTGAGTACATAATTAAATAATTTTACTTTTATCTTGAAATATAGATTAGTATATTTACCTATTTAAAAATTTTAGTTTTGTTTCCAAATCATGTATAGAAATAAGAGTTTAGAAAATATTTACTTGTGAAATACTTAATACTTCTTAATTATGAAAGTATGAACTAGTTTATGTTCCAATTTCAATCAGAACATTGAAGGATAAAACATACTATTTTATTTTTATTAGCTTTTTCTGGTCAATATACTAGAATTGAGTAAGAGAAATTACTGTACAGTATTCACTAAGGTAACCTAGCCTACAGTTAGATGTGAGGTCATTTATGATGAGCAAATAATGGATTAGGTAACAGTGAGCAAAATTCTGGAAGTTTGAGTTTGTGTGCTTATAGCAACCACTTTCAACATTTCTGCCAAGCTAGAGAAGGTATCTTCTAATTTAAATTTATTTAAGAATTATCTATTGTGTAATATACTGTCAACAGGAGATCAGTTTTAAAAATACTACTGATAGCCTGAAAGAGTGTGGAAGAGAAATTATTTTTCCCCGTACACACTCATAGTTCTTATATTTGCATTCCTGCAATTCTTATATTAAAAAACATAGGATTAGTAGCAAGAGAGTTGAAAATGGCAGAAGTTGGGAATGACTGCTATTTCTTTTTTAATTCCATATGCATAAAGGTAAATATTGTACAATTTACAGTACTTCACATGCTTAAGCTTTTTAGTAGAATGAAGGAAGATATGGCAATAATTTGCATTGCTGAATCAAAATTTACTATTTTCCCACAAAATATGTATTTAAAATCTGAAGTAAATCCTTATCATGTTTTTTTTTTTTTTTTTTTGCGGTACGCGGGCCTCTCACCGTTGTGGCCTCTCCCGCTGCGGAGCACAGGCTCCGGACGCGCAGGCTCAGTGGCCACGGCTCACGGGCCCAGCCGCTCCGTGGCATGTGGGATCCTCCCGGACCGGGGCACAAACCCGTGTCCCCTGCATCGGCAGGCGGACTCTCAACCACTGCGCCACCAGGGAAGCCCCTTATAATGTTTTTTTGATATATTGAATTTCTCTGATAAAATCTGGGATAACTTAAAATTGTTTGAAACTACCCTTCTATATGCCAGTTATATGCCCCTGGCTTTTTAGTCCTCAGTGTGGCACTTTTGTCTATGTTATGGCTCCTTGAAACATCAAATTCCTAATATTGAATTTAATATTGAAACATTATATGATACATCGTACTGTTTTGGTTAATGTGATTCCAGTCATATAAATTCGAATAGTTAAATTCAGGTCACTATCAAACAGTTAAATAAATCTAATTTCCCCCTATTTTGAAATTTATTAACAAAATTACTGAATTTTCCCCTGTCAAAGTAACAGCAAATAATATCATGGAAAAAGGAAAAGAAAGTAATACAAACAAATTGGCCAAACATGAATTGAAGTTTATAAAGTTAAAATGGGAAAAAATATTTAATCTAAGTGATTAGGATTAATGGATCTCAATGAAACCAAATAAAAAATGTAGAAATTCAGAGTTTGGAGCTTCATGTTCATATCAGAATGAACCCAGTGAAAGACATGCTGTGTCTGGTTTAAAGCATTTCATCTCTGCTAGGACAACTGAATGGAGTCAACTTGACTGTAAGAACGAGATCTACTTCTCTTACCTGTTACTTTAAGATTAAACCCTAGGTTGATAAGAAATAATAGAACTTATGTTCCATGTGGGCAGAGAGTTTTGTCTATTTCACTGCTGTATCCTCAAATACTTAGTAAGTTCTCAATAAATAAATGAAAAAATAAAAAAATAATAGCAATCACAATACTTTATCTCCCATAATTTTTACAACAATCTGTGAGGAGGGCGCTT